CCCACAGACACAGTAAACCCTGCACTTAGCGGCCTTAGCGACCCATTGCGTTAGGAGAGACATTAGCTACTTTAGTCCCAGTTTGCAAACCAAAATTGCACCCCCAGGTCGGTAATCCCTACAGCTGTTGCTGAAGTGCCAGATGTTAGTGAAAGGGGGAGGCACTCTTAAGACAGGAGACAAGGGCTATCCAAGCCCGATTTGCGCTCTCATCCTGTCAGAGCCTCGGGATTTTGGGCTTCTCTCCATATGCAAGCAGCAGGGCCAAGCACCAGGCCCACGAGCTGTAACTGAGTCAGGCGGCTTCTCTCTGGGAGCCAAACACAACAGCAGCACCAGTTCACTGGTCCACACACTTCAGCCTCTGATGAGCTGTACCGAAAGATGTCTAAGTGGTTTGAGAAAAGTGAGAAAGAAATCACAGGGCAAGCAATTTCACCCTGAGGAGTATCAAGCTGACCTGAAGAGATCAACATTTAGTGGGCCTTGAAATCACCTATCAGCAGAATCTAACAGTTTAGAGGCCTTAAATACACCATGCCATGCTAATACACTGGAGTAGGTGCTAAACAGATGTGTTATGCTAGCAGTCAGATTTGCCCCATGGTAATGTATGGCAAGACAACCTCTGATCTTCTCACAGGGGTCCTGATGGAGGATGATTTGCTCAAGTATCTGTACCTGAGATAACTCATCACTTGGTCAACTCTATTAAATAAAGACAGGGCTTTGTCTAAAAATGAACTATGTCTATTTCACTTGTCTGATTTGACGAACAGAGACAAGGGATGGATTGAGACACAAAGAGAGAGAAAAGTGTCTGCAGGCTCCAGGACACTCAAAACCAATTCCCAAGTCATCAATGAGCCAACTAGAGATCTCTCAGCTGTCACCTACTCCATTCAGGAAAAGGTTTCTGGGTGTTTTGGAGTGTTGACTCAGCTAGGGGCACAAAAGAAATAGGATGAGATGAGGGGAGAGAGTGAGAGGGAGAAAGGAAAAGAGAGGGAGAGAGAGTCAGGGAGAGTGCATTTAATCTCAGAGTCATTTATTTTTAATACCCGCCAGCTTCTTTGTTCTCTCTTTGATCTTCGCCTTCCTGGATTTATTGCGATACACAGACAAAGCACAGAATCAACAAAAATAAAAATAATGAATGAAATGTGTGACTTGACAGCTAATTCCACATCAAAACACCAACTGTAGGGGAAAGCAGACGAGAGTCAGACAGCAAGTGAGAGAGAGAAGGACTAAGTGAAGTCAAGCGCGTGGGTCTTAATAAAGTGTCAAGAGGTGTCTAAGAAGACTGTGACATTATATCATAACTGATATAAAGCAGATCATGGCCATATGGCTTACAGCATTCCTATAATACTCTCCATAACAAGTGCTGAGGCTGAAAAGCAGGATCAAATTGAATCAGATCAAACACCCACATCCCTGAAGTGAAAACAAAGGACCAATTCACAAGCCAGCTGGTCAACTCTCTGATTTCAGCAACAATGATTACCAGCTCATAAACATGACTTCTGAGTGCAATGTACAAATGTAAGTTCCATAACGCTAGGCGTTTATTCCTCCGAGGACTGACTGGAATAGAAGTGGATCAGTGCGGCAGTCTGTGAGCACAGCTTGAGGCAATCGATGGAGGTAGCCAGGCCTGCCATGGCTTTGTCATCCTCGGCAAAGGCCTGCGCAAAGGCAGGCCCAAATGTGCCTCAGACTGTTAGGGTGGCAGTTATGTTCGATCACCGGATCCTAGCGACCTTGGTTTCCAGCCAGCTTCTGAAGTTTGGTGCTGGCAACAGCCGACAGAGAGCCATTCAATTTTCATTTGCACCCTTAGCGGAGCAAACACAGGGCCGTCTGACACATCCAAATGAGAGGCCAGGTCAATATTCATACCAGTGAGGAATAACAGGAAGTCATATCAAGTCTTTTTAGACAAGCTTTCATCTGAGTCATATAATAGACCACAGAGCAGGAAAATAGAGCTATGAGTATGCTGAGGTAGGCGGTAGAGCTAAAAACCAGTATGACTATAAAGAGCCAAATGAACAATAAATTATTCAGAGACAAAAGTCTGAATGAACATATTTCAAAGCGCTTAAAAGTTTGGGCATGTAATATTCTGCTTCTTCTCTGAGTAACTGACAACATTGGCTGTGATAACTATGTGTGTGAAAGAGAGAGAGAAAAAGAGATGAAGAGCAGGGAAGAGAAAGAGAGGGAGTGCGATTTCGCTGTGCCCTTTGAGTGCTGTTACATATGGTCTCTGCACACTGTTAGTCTCCCGTGGCAACACTTCCTACGGATGCATCTGCAGTGGCTGAGCTATGACCTCCTCAAGTGACTGAGCCAGAGGATGCATCAAGATGACAGCCTCGAGCCCTGTGCCTACTTGCCTGTCTGCCTGCTGAGAAGAGAGAGAGAGAGCTATCCCAGCACTTGCCCATCCATCCAGCCCCACTTCAGCCACCCAGAACATGTGCTGACCATTCCTGCCAAGGCTCAGCCCCATTCCCCCCAGTGCCATCGCAGGCCGCACTACATTCGGGTAACTGATGCATGGGTCATCTGTTCCTCGGACCTGTGAGAAAGAAAAAAAGGCCGGAGTCTCCTTCCATCCTCTTCCACACACCCAGTCCTCCGCACGCTCCATCTCTGTGGTGAAAACAGGTTCCAACGTTGATCGATGCCATTGAAAGTCGAAATCCATTTCAGACTGCAAGATCAATGCGGGCTGAGGCAGAGGAGGCTTAGCGGACGGGGTGCCACCTTTCAAAGAAAACCTATCCACACCATCATTCCAGATCAATGACGGCCAGCTCGGCACAACACTGCATTAGGGTGTGCTGCATTTCATCAGGACACAGAGCTTGCTCTCATTTCTTCTGATTCATCTGTAAAGCACCAGATTCCTTTTATTTCACCTGCCGCAAGGTGAAGTGCTTGGCTTTCCTAATTAGTGCTGTCAAATAAATCAGAAAAGTGATGTAAGGCACACAAGTTGGAAAAGAGGTGATGTAGTGGGATACAGTGCTCCTAGTGGCCAGGCCTGTTACCGCAAGCTTTCTTGATTCAGCAGAAAGTGCAGATTAGGACACTTCTCTGACTAGCAGAGGAACAAGCAGGCCCTTGACTGCCAGCCTTAGACCACTGCAGGTACTGACATCAAAGAACAGAGTTTCTGTGCTCCTTTCATGTTTAAAAGATTCTTTTTTCACACTCCTCAAAGCAATTTTCTTCTTACTCCTCAATGTTGTGACACAATAAATGTACCCAAACCAACTATTTAAGCCTTGCAAGACAAGCAGACGACCGCTAGTATTAATGCTTCTAAAAATGCCATGATATTTAAATATACTTCAGCCTACAGTCTGCTTTTCATCCCTGCTTGGCCCAGGACTGAGACAGCCCTCTAAATGAGGGCTAAGACAGAGTAACAGGTGACAGCTAATCAGTGGCATCTGGTCAGAGGATGGCTGATAGGAACAGGTGACATATCCAGAGCAGCAATAGGTTCACTGAAAGGTGTCTGCTGTAACTCAAGAGTCTGGACAAAGATCAGCTTACATGCCTCTCCTGTAACATGCATAAGCACCGAGCTAAGGGATTAGCAACAAGAATGGCTACAGTAACCCACTCAGTAACAGATTACAGGATCGGTGGAATGAGGCTGCTGGAAGTCTGTGTTTCACACCTTTGCTATTCAACACACATGCACATGTCAAGTTGGCTACTCGGTTTCAGCCACAACAACTCTTCTACACAATAAATACTGAGAGAGAGCTGAGAGAGACAGGTTAAAGGATAGAAGATACGTGTAAGGATAAGAATAAATGTTTTATAGTGATCTAGATTCAAGACTCACATTTTAGAGTTAATAAGACAGATTGTTTTTTTATAAGCCTGGTCTATAGGTGCACAGTTTGTGATTATTCAGTTAATACCTGTTTTATCACTTCTCAGTAAGGCTTTGTAATTGGACCCATAATCATACAGAATATGTATATGTTTAATACAACTAATGAAAAAAGTAACATTTAAGTGTAATAAAAAGGTTAACAGCACATATTTAACGAAATAAAGAATATGCAAATTATAACCAACAGTAATACCAACTTTTATCTACACTTATTGTCCATCTCATCAGGTCCACTCACCATATAGGTGCATTTTTTTATTTCTACAATTACAAATGACAGCCAATCTCCACAAAATTTATTAGCCTTTCTGTGCCCCATTCATCAATGATCAGGACCATAAAGGACCACCACTGAGCAAATATTTTTGCGATATCCTGCCAGTCAAAAATATCCTGCCAACAGCATCCTGTGGCCAAAAACTGACCCCTGAAGGACTAGAGGAGTGGTAACCTACACCTGCTTTAGCTAATTGACTTTTTCAAAAGTCCTTGATTGGCTGGATCAGATGCACTAGTGCAAAGGTCTACAAATCAAACCTGCATCTAACAGACCGTCTAATAGTGCAGCAAGTAAGTGGACACAGTGAGTCATTTATGGTCCTGTGGAGTACTGGCCACTAATGAAAGAGGCAAAGAAATGCTAACATCTACAGAAAAACAGATGGACTACAATATGTAAAAGAAAAAACTAAAAAGTACACATATATGGTAAGAGTACCTGACAAAATTGACAATGGGTGTAGACACAAGGTAATTGTTCCTAATAAAGTGTCCAGCGAATGCATCTAAAATCTAAAATTAAAAAAGCTCCAGAGCAAGAGTTAAAAATAGCACCCTTAGTAACCTGAAGCCAGAGAGAGTGTGAAAAAAGGGCTGTGAATTATACAGAAGCGCACTGTTTAACTGTTGATGTAGAAGCAGCACTAGACAATTCAGAAGACCCTGAATAAAGAATCTGTAGCAATGGATGGTGGCAATACTCGAAGGATTATGATCCTTGATGGGCAAGAGTGTCTGCAAGGTGTGTAAATGTTTTTGTGCATAAGTATGTGCAATGTATGGGTGAACTTACCCCCTCCCTGTCTGGAGTATTCGTCTGCTTCATGGTGCACTAAGTCAGTCACACAGCCTCCATAGGGTAGACGGCCCTCATGGTCAAAAGCCTTGAGCGTCTCGCTGGAGCTATAGGATTTCTGGGTGGGCACGCGGCACTCCTCGCTGTCCAAAGAAGAGGTGGTGAACTGAAGCTCTTTCTCGCAGCGGCCGCGGGTCAGAGAGCGGTGTCTGCGCTCCTTTAGGTCCATGGCTGCTGTAGCCGGTTGGGCTGACCGTTCCTGGAGACGAAGGTCTTAGCAAACCGTCTGGTCCCTCACCTGTCAGACACATACAAGAGAGAAAAAAAAAAAGCATTTAGAGAACTTGATCACAACAACTGTATCACTAAACTATAACAATTAACCCTTAGAAAACCTTGCAGTTATCAGCAGTAATAACAAATGCACTGTGTTAATTTATATTAAACAATTTCTCAATTTTAAAATTTCAATCAATATTAAATGTGTTAGTAAGCTCAGGAGAAGATATCTTGTGATGATTTCCCTGCAATACTGTGATAGTGTGGCAAGTGCAATCATCCTAAATGTAGTCGATATAATTGTATGCAAAGGTTTAGATGCCCCTGGTCAAATTGTTTTGTTGATTTTCTAAGTGAAAATAAGTACACACCTCTACAGGAAATACACTTTTGAATTTAACACCTTGAAGAAAATGTTTCTCGTAGAGGATGTGTTAACTTATTTTCACTTAGAAAATCAACAAGCAAAACGTCATTTCACCACAGATGTTCAAACTTTTGCATTCGCCTGTACATTTGCTTGTTTTAAGTCATTTTATCTAGTGAAATGAATTATTATACTGGCAGATAATTGCTTTTTTTGTATTAAGTATCACTTTTTGAAACAAGCAATGTTATCTGTATTATCTCTGTACACAAGCAAAATTATCTGTCAATTTAATAGGAGGATAAAATTACTCAAAACAAGTTTAAAATACAGAAATAATCTAAATACTCTTTTATAATATTCTTTTCTTATCTCAATGAAAATTATTCAATATATTGACTATAAGACATTAATATTTTTTGTAGTGTTGTATTTGTTTAAAAATATTACTGTTGTATATGCAGTCCTGTTTTCCAGAACATATTTAATAAGGCTCTCCATACCTACACATCTCATTTACAAAACTTATACTTCAGAGAACTATCCAGTGCTCTTTATGGAAACAATTTTAGTTCTATGATATTTCTCCAAACATCACTTTTTGACACCTTTCGTTGTAAGAGTTATGGATCAAAAAAACACAGTGCGCACGCATGAGCAGACTGAAGCATTATCTAATCAAAGTCATGAAGCTGTCATGAAGGTGGCGAGTGCAGAGGAAGGAGCAGGGCGGATCTGTGCACCGCGAGTGATGGCTCAACGCTGCTGAGGGATTGGTGGTGGAACAGAGGAAGGACAGGAAGGCAGAGGAAATGACTTGAGGGCATTGCGAGTCTCTCTCTCATTATCAGGAGCAGAATGAGAGGAGCTCCCTTGGAGGCCAGGAGAGGATAATCACACATGCCTGATTGTGTGTGCTGGAGAAAACAGGGCCATAAGTCACCCAACCTACTCACACCATGCTAACTCAGGTGCTGGGTTTAGTAGCAAAGTCACACGCCTCCAGTGATACACCCTGTTATTGACACAACTTCAGTTCTACTCTAGCCATAAGCAATGTAGTGGTCTGGCGCTAAAGCTAGCTCACGGTAATTAGACAGTAATTAAAAGCAACTTGAACTGCATCAGTAGAGCTGTAGACAGCACGCATAAGTATGACAGCTAGTTCAAACCCACACAAAACACAAAGCCTCACCTGTGTCTAAACCTCCCACAACATAGCAAGATCAGAACCAAGATGAAAATCACATTCTCTAATGGAAAATAACTAGAAGAAGCAAAGCTAAATGAATCTACAATGGAATCTAAAAAGGAATAATCCAGTAGCAGAGTACAGATCACAGATCCTGTTTCTTTACGCTATGTAAAACTGTACCGGTTGACAAAAAGGGCTCTTTGGGGCAATGCCATAGAATAGGGGTGTACAACTCTGGACTTGGAGGGCCAGCGGCCAGCACATTTTGGTGATTTACCCACTCAAACACACCAGATTACACTTATCTGTTAACTGACAGGTTTAGTGAGTGTGCCTGAGTAGGGAAACCTCCAAACTTTGCTAGACACTGATCCTTCAGGACCAGAGTTGTGCACCCCTGCCATAGAAGAACCACTTTTGGCTCCTTAAATAAACTTTCAAAGGATGCTTGTGTTGTTTATTTAGTGGCGATGGTGTTTAGATGTTGTGAAGAAAAACTCCGCCGATACTGAGTTGCCAGTAAAAGATTTATTACATAGTAAAACAGTATCATATCAAGCACTATAGAGTACTTGAGAGAGGATCTGTGCCAATTCTAAATGTCCCCTCCCGAACAGACTGACCAACAGCATATATATATGGTTCTTGTTGTTGAAACAGGAGACAGAGCATATGGTTCTTTTTAACATGACCTCATCTATTTGAACCTAAGAGACCAAGGGCCCCCCAATTCACATTCCTAGCCCCTGCACAAACAGAGCACACAGGGAACTCCTAGATACTACCACCTCAACTTATTGAAAGAGTGTTTTTACCTTCTTCTATCAAAGGTTTCTTTTTAAAATATACTTCACTTGTTCCAAACTCTATACTGCTGTTATTAATGCCAGTACTTCTTTATTACTCTGCAATCTGACGATCAGTTAAAATACCCACTTGCAGCACCTCATACTCATTTCATACTCATATCAATTTCTTGTTTCGTGATTTAGAAAGTGTTTACTATCTGTAGGAAGGTCTCTGACACATGTGCTAGGAGAGCAAAAACTAAAAGGAGCAGCAGCCAGACATCTTTTTTCCCCAACGCATGACAACATCTGCCTGAAAAAACAGAGATGTGTATCCAGACGGGATAAAAATGATAAGAACACCACTTTGTTTGGTGAAAAACAGTAGGTAATTCAGACTGTATTTTTCTTAGAGGAAGAAGAGAAAAGCACAAGGAGTACCTGTAAAAGAGGAAATTACCCCAGGAACTCATGTAACTTTAGTTCCATCTCAATATGGCTAATGGTTGGTTCTTTAAAGAGCCATTTCTGTAAATGACACGTGTGAGTGTGAAGAACCTCTTTCAATTTTAACTCTTTAAGGCTAACGCAAAAACACAGCGGTTTCTTCCACTTGATTTCTCAACCCTGTGTTGTGAATGAGCTTTTGCATTTTGCTCTCTACACTCACAATCATTTTCACATCAAAAATCATTCTTTAGGGAAAGTGTTCATTCTATTGCATCGCTCAAAGAACACTGTTTGGCATTTTTTGGTTTTAAAAGAGTGTAGAAATGTACGTCCAACCCATGAACTTAGATTTTTAACACAGCAGCTTGTACTCTTGTGGACAGAAGCAGCTCAGTTTGTCTCTGCTGCCCCATTGTGTCTCTCCACACTATCCACCACACCACACTATCCACTGCATTAGCATGATTGGAGGAGAAGCTGCTTGCCCCAGGGTGTACACAACGCAGCAAGCGAAGACAGCAGGCCTGTTCTCTCTTCACTCCAACAGATGATTACACAAAAAGCATGGCCACTAGCTATTCACCATGCCATGTTTACTGAGAAGCTGAAAAGAACAGTGCGCAAAGAGAAAGTCATTAGGTTGCGATCGTTCGTCCCACTTGCTGATAACTTGAAACAAAGCGAGAGAGAGTGAGAGATAGAGAGAAAAAACAGAATGCAGCAGATGATGCTTTTAATAAGGATTCATTAAAAGAATACTCCAAGGTCAGTTTGAGATCTGTTGGCAATGTCCATTGATTAAGTGCTGGCATTAATGTGTAAAAGATGCCATTAAGGAATGAAATACGGCGTTCATCAACAAGGTCACTAACTATTAAACAGCAAACATTGGTGGTATTGAATGCAAAATGAGAGAAAGAGAAACGTGGACGGCTACACTGAATGCTGGAATGCTTGTTTGACCATTTCTATGTGTCCTCAAACCCATAAAACTGTCTCACCTTCTTAAGTCAAAAACCCCCTCCCCCTGTTCTTTTTTTGACCCATTTCTCTTCCTATTAGACACACAAATAAGCACTTTGTCATCGGCGGGGATGAAGGGCAGTCTGTTGTGATGTGTGGAAAGCGTGGACGTTGGAGCCGCAGGGCCTTTTAAAGCACAGTTGAAAGGAGTGCGGTGACATGGCTGGTGTGGTACGCGTATGTGGGGGAGTGGAGGGGGCTGGGAAAAGCAGCGCTCCAGGGGGCTGCTGAAGCAGTGCAGTGGTAAGATGATGCCGTAAGATGGGGAAGAAGCGGGTCAATATATGGCTGGGCTGCAGCACAAGCAGGTCACTCCTTCAATTCATTCCAGCGGTGGAAAAGAAGAGAGCACCTGGGGGCATGGAGCATAACGGAACAGTTTCGCCTGATCCAGCTCCCTCCACACAGCGCAGGAGAAAAGAATGGAGGGAAGGAAGGAAGGAGGGAAGGAGAGAGAAAGGGAGGGATGGTGGAATTCAGGACAGGGAGATCAATCACTGAGCTCCCACGCAGGTGAGTGCTGCAAGGTTAATGATAACTGGCTCCTGGCACGGTGCATGCACACCCAGGCACACACACTGCAACGCACGCACATAACACATTATCACCTCCCACGTCTGCCGGTTAAATGCGTCACAAGAGGCAAAAGCGCCCGCCCTCACATATGCATTTCATGGCACCCATCTTGCCATGCCAGAGCACCCTGCAGAATCTATGCACCCGCTGCAAAAAATCCATGTGAGATTAGACGAGACGGAGGATGCAAATTCCCAAGAGTGAGAGGGAGCAGACCATGAAATCGCAGCAAAATGGAAGGCGTAATTGGAAAATGATAGGAGGGTTACAAATTAATTTTAAAAAATTACAGCGCAAAATTTGGCACAGCAGGGTGCTCTTTCCAGAATGAACTTTTTTAAGGGGGGAAGCTTAGAAATGACAGAGTTCAGCAGATATACAGCACCATGAATGGTCAAAAAGGTAACGTTATACAGAAATCATCAGGCACTCTTTAAAATAGAGGTACCCGGAGGGGCTCCTTGGGATAATGCCATAAAACAGGGATGTCCAATCTTATCCATAAGGGGCCAGGGGGACTTCAGGTTTTCATTCTGAACAAGCAGGAGCACAACTGTTTGTACTTGTTTAATCAGCTGGTCTCAGCCTTCAACAACTTCTGCTTTGTTGGAATGAAAACC